GTGTTCAACAGTATGTACATGCTGGTTTTGCTACACTATGAATATATTCAGAGATATATTCAGAGTCATTACTTTATCTACAATAATTGTTGTGTGTATTAAAAGTGATTCATAATTCTATGTGCGTCACGACTCTTGAACAACTGAATTAGTCTGGTCTATTAATTAAATAGTTAGATACACAAAACTTATACACGTAGGTACAATATAATTGAAATAAAAACAATATCTTGTAAATAAGCATTTAAAATTTTACTGACTACTATACTACCATACTGATAATAATATGAGTCTTATTGATACCGAGTGATATTGAATTAGTTTTTAATGGTCATATTGTAACTAAACAAAATTTCTAACAATGTTTGGAAAAAAAATGCAATAGATTTTTTCTACTGTATCCCTCTAATTTAGGTCATTATCATGTAGACATATGTATATATATACAAATATCTCACAGGCACACTGTTAAGCCACCTAAACACGCCAACACCTTAAGAATGAGACGCCTCATTAAAGTCATATACGTTACTTCTGAAATAAAGAATACAGATAAAATTTGTATATTTCTTGTTTTAATATTTCAAAGAACATCATATCATAAGATATTCCAAGAAAATGTTTTGCACATTTATATTGCTTCATCTTCTTGGTACTGTATTGTTAAAATATATCATAGAACAATATAAATAAATTACATATAAATAAAATAAAGTTGCTGTGGCATTTACGTTCGAACCTGTTTGCTCAGGTGATAGTAGACACTATATTACTATTACGTCAAAAACACGTCGTTTTTGCATCTATTAAAATTTTCTACAATTTGAGGTATATTACCTATATATAAACTAAATATATATTTAATATAATACAGTTCGAATTACTTACGAATATTTAAAGATAAAGCAACGGAAGCATATTTGGCTAAGAGCCCGGGTTTTCACCTATAAAATACGCATAGTTACATTAATGAACTTCATTTCATGATTAGGTTTCATGATTACTATAGAAATCCTCTAGATACTAAAAAGGCGATCTTCTAAAAACTTGTAAATAAGAATAATACATCTATAAATATATTCTCTGCAATCAAGGCGAGATGTTATCTTCACAAATAAATTATTAGTTTTACTTTTAGATTTTTCTAGGAATATACATTTTATTTCTAATAAACGCACACTTTTGATCCGTATGATTTTTATGTAATTGGAATGGAAAAACAAGCTGACGGCCCTTCCGATGGTAAGCGATAACAGTTATAGCGACTGTACCTAAAATAAAATATTTTCCAATCAGAACTTATTTAACAATGTAAGTTTAAAGCAACAGTCACTCTTGTTACGGTGTAATATGAAACAGGAGATAAGGCATGGCAGAAAACCGGGCAGCCATAGGGAGTAATATTGCAAACAGGTTATGTACGTGCCTACCCCATGAGTATTAAAGTGGACAAGGTGTCACACGAAGTATAGAGGAAGCTAATGGCCTCGCAAATACATACGTTCTTGGTACAACCGTGATGAGAATTCATACGACATTAAATGTAATATTGATGACCATACGATATACGTTGACGTAGTGACGTATCTACGTATATTGTACTATTTTGTCATCAATATTACTCGGAGATATCTACACAAATGTTTTAATCATTTGCTATTTTAGATGTACTTAATATCATATATTTTATTCCATGTTATAAATAAAATGAGTATTGAAATTAATTAAAATAAATTACGTACGATATTAATTAAAGGAAATATGACCCTCATTGGATAATCCATACAGACTCATCTAGTCCCACGCTAAGCAGAATCTCTATTTATGGGTATTACTAGACAACTAATATAAATACGTTTTTTTTTTAAACACGTACATAATGGACATAGAAAACACTCAGATCAATATAAATAATCATACTGTAATAATAATAATAATCCTCTTTATTCTTGAATACAAAAGTATAAAAGTGTGTACCGTGCGTGGTATCGAACTCCCGATCATCTGCTAAGCATTGAGGCCGAAATTTTTAATAAAAATGCAAATTGTCTTTAAAGATTAAAATTAAATGATTTAAGATATTTTATCTAGTCAATTATGCCATCATCATCAAATTATATATCTTCATAAACATTCCACAACTTCAATACATCATTGTCCCGTGATTCTACGGTAATGTAGATTGAACTATGAATACAAAATATGCTACCGAACAGTGAACTCTCCAGTTTAAATATATATAAAAAATAAGGTATGTATTCACTGTGAAAGAGTTTCGGTAATAGTTTTCCTTATCGTACATCGATAGCCAAGTAAATCACAAATTGCGAATACTGTCGTGTGTCATACAATATACTCGTACTTTGTCCATTTTACTGTCATACTTTTGATTAACGTTTATATATAGATTTAATTGTATTTATATTCCGTTTGTTGTATTTAAAGGTAGTATATTGAAATAAAAGTAAATTACAGACACATAAAATTATGTAGAATAGTATAAAATAATTAAGAATTAGGAGCATAACCATTAATCAGTATGTCTGCAAAAGAAGCCATTTTGTAGTTTTTTTTATTTTTCCCGCGCAAACGTAATGTGCCACAGATGCAGAATATTGCACGGTGAACAGTGGCAATAGGATAGCTGTATGCGCAATGTTAATACTATGAGTATTAACAATGTACATAAACAGAATTAAAGGACTAAAAACCAGACAGAGTAAAATGTAAAAAAAGAATTAATACCTATGATTTTTTTTACTTTCAATTGATATTACCAAAGACTGCATTAGCACAGACACCTATTCATTGTTATCGAAGCATTGTTTCGGCTAGTGCGGGCGTCGTGTTTCCGGCAAATCATTGCGATTTGTATATGAGGACGTCCGTTTCCTCTTTGCAAAATTTTTGCATACGATGAGAAAGTTATCTGCCGAAACGGAAGAGCCTTTTATGCGCGATCATTAAGATTTATGTCCCGTATATGACGGCTATGACGCGATTTCATCGATGCATTGTATAATGAAGGTACAGGCATTTTTTTGTTGATTGAATTTTAATAGAACCAATACTGAAAATGAATATATCGTGAGCAAGTAGGTATTGATCGATGGTATAAATATAAATTTCCTGTATTTTCAATAAAAAATTATGCGGATCAATAATTACATAAATATGTATAGTATATACCTTCACGACTATTTTCTCAGATTGGAAGGTCTGAGGCATTATCAACTAAAAATACATTTTCTAGGTATTTTTCAAGGTGGGAAGGTATGAACATGTATCTATTTATTGGATTTTGAAATAGGTGTTTTCATCAACGTATTGTCTATTAGAAATATAAATTGGCGTAGTTTTTATTTATCAACCATATTAGATTTTCAATTCGGTTAGAGTTAGATTCCAAATCAGCAACCACTAGGCCACAACGCAGTGAAACTATTAATTGTATTAAAAATTTCAACGGTTCATCATAACCCGTTTTTTAGTGTAGCGTTATAGTTTTCTACATATTTTTGTCATGACCAACTGCGAAACCCTATACATATCGAAGCGCGAAGGTTGTTAATAATCTAGAAGGTTACCGGGTGAATAATAATTACTGGAGGGTCGATGGAAATGCAATAAAGCGTGGCGACCGCAGATGAAGCCATGGTGACGTCAGTGCTCTTGACCTCTTATTTTCCAATAAGAATTCCTTACTGAAGCCATGAGGCACGCAATGGAATACATTATAAATTCATCACTATTCTTTATGTTCTATTATACATAATAATACGTATCATAATGAAGAGATATTTATGCAAATTATTTTAAACTTTCATTGTCAATATGGCAAATAAATGTTCAAAATTTTAACAAATTCCGGAAAACCAATTGCTTTAATGCATTTAACATTTCACGCATTTGGAGGCATTTAGTAGACAGACAGCACAACTTCTGTGGAGTCCGCTAGTTTATATATTTACATCCATTAAGATATCACAGCAATGGTTTTTCAGATACTGCAAATATTAGTTAAATATACGTACATGCGTTGTACAGCCACGTACAGCTAACCGTATATGGCCAATTTAATACTAGTACCGTTGCAATCTTGCGGTCATAACGAACAATCTGATGATGCTTACTTAGTGTTTGAGGTAGCCATCGCTACAATACTAATGTCACAGACTCCAAGAGCCATTATCGTATATAAAGTTTTTTGTATGGTAAAAATGCGCGATAAAATTATATGTAATATAAAAAAGGCATGACAACTCAATAGAACGTTGCTTGCCAAATGAAGAGAGTGACAGATTACCGACCGAACCCGTGGATGCGACAGCGATGGACTTTAAATTGCACAAGATGTGAATTATAATTAAATTCAACTGGTATTTGTAATGCTTTATACCACAGATACCTACGAGAAAACTAGAAAATATAAAACTTGCTTCATTATTTATTAACTGTGTTAAGAAGGAACTGTTGAAAGTTATACCAGAGGTAGATTGCAAAATTCGTCTGCATATGTATCTCAGTCTAAACTCAGTCAAATAGCAGCTGGCTTTGTAGGAATATTTTTATGACGACATTAACAATAAAATTTCTAGAATTATCCCCTACCTATTGTAGCATCAAAATATCTCCGAACACAATTTAAAATTTGTAGTTTAATAAAAGAGTTTTAACAAAAATACAAGATTAGCTATTTTACTGTAATCTGATAGAACTAAGCTGAATAAGCAACTTTTTGTCATTTATTGATGTAAGAAAAAAAGTCATCATTTTTGTACTTTCATACAGAAGATTAGGATCCATTGTCTTTTACATCGTGTATAAACTATTACTTCTATTTTTGGATGTTCATACAAACATCAAATAAGCTATGTTTTAAATTCGTAAGGACGCTATTTCTCTTCCGTATATTTGGTAGAACAATAGCCAAATCTTGAGTTGGTGTAGTAATAAATATAATAAAAATAATGACTTATTAATTATTAGTAGTAACTTACCTAAGAAGGAGATTGAGGGAGCTATCATTTCTGGTCGTTGGCACGTCCTTTACGCTGGATGGTTCGCTGCGAACACCTCGAAGAGAAAGCCTCAACTGCCGTGGGATGGAGCTGAGAAGGCCGTTACTACTATTCCTGCGCGGGTCTCTCCAACTCTTGGACCTCGTTAACTTGTTAGCCTCCAAGTCCGTAACACGAGGATGTGATGACACCTCATCTTTGGAAACTATCGCATTTGTTGCATTCGTTTTGATTATAGTAGGAACAGTTGACTTAACGTCTCCCAACAACTTCTCAAACGGCGAACCAAAGTCCTCTTCCGAAATAGTTTCGAAGCTTCTCGGGCCTACGGACGACGTTGTTTTGTCTGACATTGTGAAAATTCTAAAGGGACAAATAGGGCGATACGGAACGTAGCACTACAGATACCTACAGGGCACTTCGTCACTTTGGATTTTTAGTTTCTTGACAACACTTCACTCTTATCATAATATCCATTTGTAAATCATAATGTTTGGGGTAGAAATGTTGACACTGAAACAAAAGAGAAATGCATTATTAATTATATGGTAACCTACATGAAAGTAAGGATGTATCTCTCTATTAACAATTAAATGAAAGTACTTATCTATGAAATAAAAGCTAGAGTATATAATTTACCAAATTATAAAAATTATATTGCGAAACCATTTCGTTTTGAAAGTATTGTAATTTGTTTCTTGAGAAAGTGTTCTACTTTTACTTTGCTGAAACTGCTACGGAATTAAATAGAAATTTAAAATATATTAAAAATATTCATATAGAAGGTGGATTTCAATTACCAAATACAACATACGATTGTCCGACAGTCACGGAAGACTAGACGACCGTCTGAAACTTCACTATTTATAAATCAAACACTATCTATTGTTTTAAGAGAAAGGCAGATAAACCTAGACAACTCTTTTATAAACATATATATCAAGTTCCACTTAATTACTAGATGGACGTACATTGGCTTTGTTTAACTGCCAATTAGACTGAAATAGCGACGAAAATAATAAGCTGATTTGCATTTAGAAATTCACACGTTGCACTTTTTTAATGCATATATAAGAATTAATTTTGAGATGTAAATTTCTACTCGTATAATATACTAATCTTATATCTATGTATTTATTTTGTTACAAATATATTAATATAAATACATTATTATTATTATTTATTACTATTTCAAAGAGTTTATGACATACACAATAATGCTGCCTATCATAAGCCATACTGTCCTAGTTAAAACGTTCTTTCCCATGTTGAAAATTAGCGGTACATTTTTTGCTATTGTAAGTATAATTTAATTGCTCTTAATGATAACGACGATTTTCGCGAAAGTGTAACGTGTTCCTAATGTAAGGTTCGTACCTAAAGAGGAAACCTCAAAGTGAAAGTGGATCAACTTAATATACCCTGCACTATAATTATACCTATTATAGCAGTACAGTACAGAACAGAACTTTTTTATCTTATGTGGAAAGTTCTTGAAGAATATCATAGATTTGTTTAAAAAATTACTGCTTTATTATGTGGCTATGAGCATAAGTATCAACACTATTGCAATCGTGGAACTGGTTTAGTTTTTTAAGGCAATTATAAAGGTAATACGAAAAGATATTATCTTATTAGACTGTCGTCAGTTCGACACAAAATATAATTAATTTATTATGCGATTTCATATCATTTCAGTATGTTTAGTTGAATTTAAGTAAATTATTATGATGTCATTGTGAGCATAATAGCTCTAATAGTAGTCGCTAAAATGAACGCGTAAATGAACACACGGAACAAATTAATTTGAGACGTGTAATGACGAATTCATTTCAACTGTCTGAATTTCTTACCATAGCTATACATACCTACATACATACATATATATACCTACCACAATTTCAATAGCTGCAATTTTTTTAATACATAATCTTTTTGTTTCTTTAGTTTGTATTATATTCATATACATATCTTAATATGCCTGGTTTATTTTAGGATAAATAAGGTATAACCACAGTACAAATACAAAACTGTGTTGTGTGGACTTTAATTTTCTACAAAATATAAAAACTAGATATCGTTGTTGGTACTATATTCATATAAGTGTAATATATATTTTCATATACCTATTTGGTGACATAATGTACCAATTGATAAATATAAGTATTGAAAAATGTTATGCAACTAAAGAGATAAAGACTTTTAAGAACTGCTATTACAAGTAATGAGGTCTTTCATGCTTACCAAATTTTCTAATGATTTCAGATTGGACAGGTATCATATGGTGCAATAGACTGTAACAAATGTAATAGATGTTGCTGTTGTTATAACACAATGAGAGTATTTTATTAACGAAAAAAATATATCACCCCAAGATACATGAAAGACTTTGTATTGAAATTTATGACTGTAATTAAACTTGTCGGTCGCTTCAAAACTATTAAGTAAATATATAGATATTAATTACATCGATTTTTTAAGATATATCATTGTACGTTGTATCATTGAATCTGTTTTATGTACACGATATTTAGTGAAATCTCTGTTACAACAATTATAACATAAGACTTCTTATCAATTATAACATAAGTCTTCAACTGAAATAATCTGAATTTTATAATATACATGCATTTTTCATATCAATGTCGTAATCAAAAATGGTGTTCATAGGCAGGCCAATTTCAGTGAAATAAGATATTCCAAAATATTGATGATATATGTCTAATCCTTCTGGGACGCATAAATTCGGTATAGGTTTGGTGTACCAATGTAAAAAATAGTTCATAGAGTAGGTCTACTGACCGGAAGGCGTTTCAAAATTAGAGTAACATTATACGATGGGCCGGCCCGTGTTCAACTCAGCAATATGGGGCCGTTATATTTTAGAAGCATGCGTCTGCCAAATGTCCCGCAGTACGCGAATGTGGGTCAATGCTCCAGAGATCAAAACTTATTCATGGACCAACGCAGTCTTAGGTTCAAGATTTTCAAAGCCAAACTTGTATTGGCAATGTACGCATTGACCTCGCGAAGGTGCTTCGTACATACGTAATTAATTGTTTAAGACTGGCCCGTATCTAAAATTGAATACTTCCGTCTTTGTACCCAAACTCAATATAGTATTCTAAAAATAAAATTATTTATACATATATGAGAACAAATTTAGGATATCCTTTATAAATCTAAAAAATATTATTATTAGTCTGGTAACGGATATCCTAAATTAGTACATCTTATTGATTGAATAAATTTATTGATTAATTACAACTAAACAGTGTGATTGCAGTATATGTATTCTGTGATTGCGGTTAATGTTATTATATGTACTTACTAGGTAACAGGGAGTTATTTCGAGGCCAACAAGTTTACAGTTATATTATATTGTTGTAAATATAGCATGTAATGAACTATGCACAAATAAACAAGTTGATCTGGAGATTAAAGATGAGAGATTTAATGAGGAGTAACAGCAACAGTTCGTGCTGAATTAATTACTTGTTTGGCGTCTTTGTTTACACAAGAATTATCATATTCATCACGGTCGGATGTAATTATTCGATATTAAAGTTGATATTAGCATAGTAATCTGTTGGAGATCCAGATTGTTATGGAAGTGCAGTGTGTGCAACGTGATGAATTGTCATGTGTATGAACGCAATAAATATCTTAATGTGTGTTTATTCGCCTGGTTTGCTATACAATCAATCATCACGTTTTATTAGTTACCAAAGGATGACTTTATACAAAGTCGTGTGCAAAGTACAAAGTACGAGTACTTAACGATTTCTGCTAACAAGTAGCTCGTTAACTCTAGGTGAAATGTAGCTACGAATTATAAAATACTCGTAGATACTGTAAAGTATTTTTATAAATGCCTCAGGGGGTGAGGGAATTGTTAGTACCAATTACTAACAATTCCAATAGTGATCGTATTGCTAATAAATGATGTATGTCGTTAGGTTAACTTCTGCCCAATAGGGCAAATATTTATAAACCATCGTGCTTAATTCCTGGTAATTTGGTCACGATGGCCCAACTAATCAACTTACATGCTCATGCTATCACCTTCCACTGATATATCTACTAGTGTATTGGTTTAGCTCAGAGAGTGCACCATTCTATTACCATATATAATAAATATGCCTTTATAAAATAATAATAAATAAACAGCTGATAATATGACAAGATACCGGGATATTGACATTACAAAAGTGAGGACTTCTTATCACAAATTACTTCAGTTATTACGCGACCTGAATGACTTCTATAGTTCAATTCAGTCGATACTCAGCACCTTGAAATTGTTGATAAAACCCTATTTAAAGCTACCGTTACTAGGGTTCACATTTATACTACGGTTGTACTTACCTATTTACTCATATATCTATAATATGTTGACCTCCTTTACATGTTAAATGCTCCAATTGTACTACAATGTATACCATGACTAGCTTTGCTTTGTGGTTTCAACTGCTGTTTAATTTTGACCACCCTCGTTTCCTCAACTTACTTAATTGTATAGCATCATATGATGATGTTATTGCTTTTTTGTTTAATGTTAATTTTAAGTTGTATTTTTCTTTTAACGGTTTTTTTATCTCACATAGTGCCATTGCTAGCAATGTTCCATTACCATTCCATTTCATTTGAAGTCGACTTCCGTGTGGTAGCCTAGAAAACATCGTAATTATCACGTAATCCTGGTGAATTTGTCAGTATGGATTAATTAAATTAACTCCATGCTCACCTTATCTTTCAGCTAGCATATGTATACCGTTAACATAGACGGGTGTACCATTCCATTAACTCCCATTAAAAAAATCCCTCTGACGTCCACAAACTCTTCAGCTTTGTATAGATGTAGGTATAAATATTTTTTTGTCCACAGCAACGAATAACTAACGGAAATTCTAACGTGACTCTATTTCAGAATCTAATCAAAATACTTTTTATCGCCAAACAAAAATCGTGCGATCATTCGATGTCATTTAAATTTAAATTGATCCTTTAAATATAGAAATATAAATGATATTATATATTATTTTCATATCGAGAATATATTACACATTAATTGACTTGGTCACAGGTTGACTTGACATGATGCTGTAATATTATGAGCAGAAAAATCTGTCTACCCGCTGTCTTAGTCATTTCTATTACACCGTCACTACTACTGGAAAACACTCGATAGTCACGACAAAACAAAAAAGAAGAGAAATAAGAAAAACACATTCACTGTATCACTTACAAATGTTTGAAGTACACCTAGTTTCTTTTCTAAAATTTTGATATTTATTTTCAATGGCTTTATTCACCATTCATGTGATAGAGTTTCGCAGATAATATTGTGACAATGTATGTGTGTATGTAACGTGTGATTTGTCTTGAGAACAGTATAATCTAGTCTTTTTTATAATGTCAGCGAAACCAATAAGAATTACGTATTGATTTGCAACTTTCTGTTTTATCTTGTCAGTAAAATTAATTTTTCATCTCATTTTTCTTTAATTACA